TAGAGAGGTTATCCTTGCAAAGGGGGTTCACTTCCCGGCTCTGGATGATCCAGTGATGGTGGAAGCTTTGGCCCTCCGGGAGGCGGTTGGTTGGTGTTTAGCTAATGGATTCACTGCCATGAGGTTTGAAGGTGATGCCCAAGTGATAATTGAGAAGATTCTCCGGAAGGATGTTCAAGATAGTAATATAGGGGCCATTCTGGAGGAGATAGTGAATATTTTTGCTTCAAACATAGGGTTGAATGTACGATTTGTAGGTCGGCAGAACAATAGGGTAGCTCATTTGGTAGCTAGGCAAGCCCTGTCTTTGTCCCCGTCTGCTTGTCGCTTGTTTGATTTCCAGGCCTGCCTGTATTACAGGATGTAACGATCTATTGATTTCAATCTATTGATTATCTTTTGTCAAAAAAAAAAAAACTGGAAAAGTGATAGATCAAGCTCTAACGTTACTGTGAATGAATTATGGGAAAAACAAAACTTAATGGGATGCGTAGTGGATCCAATAGGCAGAGGAAATTAGCTAAAACTAAAACTGAAGCATTGCAAAAAATGCCAAACCCCCCGCACAGTGAAAAGTCAAAAGTGAAAACAGCTACCTGCCTCGACTTTGATAACAGTGCAAAATATACTCACAGACCAATTCGTATGAAAATTGAATAAATTCACATATAGTAATTCAGGGTGAAATCATTTGAAAAAAGGGCTGACCAAAGTAATTATTGTAGTAGATGGGTTGACCATACTAATTATACCGATATGCGAGATAATTTCAACATATTAGTAAATTAAACATGCTACCAACCTCCATTATCTGTTAGTAATTCTGTGCATATCATCTCGATCCGATCACGTAATCCGAAATACCTATTAACACCAGAAAATCCATCCAAACTCGATTCCATATAAAAAAAACAATTCAAACTGCTCGGGTCGAGAATCCCAGGATTCTTTATCTGGACGGCTAAACGTCGCCCTAGTTTTACTATTATCGCCCTAATTTAAAATATAAATTTACTAAATTAACCGTTTCATTAATCAAAACTAATAATAAAAAAACAACTCCTAAAATCTCTATTCCTCCAATACCGGCAACCCCTTCTCCAAATACCCTCCGCCGCCGTCCTTTCGCAATTTGCCGCCGTTCATCTCACCCGCCTCTACACCATTCTCCCCAATTCACCAGGGGCACCCCTTCTCCCAGCCATAGTTTAAGTTCCAGAAAAGTCGAACACAAAAATTAATAAGATTAGGGTTCCGAAACGTTAATCAATCATGAGCCACCTGTGATGCCATCTATCCCACTCTGCCACCGCGTCGTTCTCTTTGAATCCGGCCAATATTCATCGCCGGTGGAGCTTCATAATTAAAAACCACTAAACCGCCATTATTGGGCAGTTAGTTCCTCACCACTTAACGAACCATTAAATTCCCATGTCCCGTCTTTTACTGGGTACTGTGGCCTTACCCAGATTGCTGACTCGTAGGCCTTACCCAGATGTCGATTATCCAGTTTATGGGAATTTTTTGGTCTGGTGAGTAGCAGAAAGAATGGTGAAGCTGGTGAGTGCCGACTCTATTTTGGGAATGGGCAAGAGTGAAATTAAAGCCTGAATATATAAACAATAAAATATAAAAACGATAATTGTAAAAAAAATATATATAAAAGGATAAAAAGGTAATCGTAGGTTTTATATTAAGGCGATTATAGAAAGATTAGTGCGACAATTAGCAATCCCCTTCTTTATTTCCAAACTAAGTTAGGCAAGTTGGGGAAAACGGTCCAGGAATATGATGCCCCCATTCAACAGTACCGTGGACCATGATAACTACATTACGTAAATCATAAATGTCCAATAATGGATGGAAATTTTGTGGCTTAAACATCTTCCCATCTTTTGTCCTCTCGAGTTTTTTTTTCTACCTTCTCTTCTCCCAGACAGAAGGTTTTTTTTTATTGACGAGATTTAGAAGTCACCAAAAATCGTATTTTCGATGGGGCGTCGAAACGCTTTTTAGCCATTTTCACTCATTTTGAATGCTTTTATACTCATTTTAAACCTCCTAATTCGTCTCTTGATCCATGATTCATATAGAGATATAATTTGAACTTGAATAAAGTCATGTGAGGCGGACCCATCACCAAATGAATGAAGGGCCAAAACTAAAGACACCTCAGTACTAACTAACAAAGCTTTCAGACAATTCCAGCAAAATTATGACAATCAGAAAACCAGGGATCTAGTAATACCAGCTAGGGGTGGGCATTGGTTTGACCAAACCGCTCCAAACCGCGTCGTTAAACTAACGGTTTCATTTGCGGTCTAATAATTAAGCGGTTCGCGGTTTGGATTACCGAAATCGCGCGGTTGCGGTTCAAAATCGCAAACCGCTAATTCCTAATACGTCCACCACCAGTTGAGTAGCTTTGTAGAGATCCATCTCCCAGACATTTTTTCTCACAACACAGCACACGAGCTATCCTCCCGGCGACGGCGCCAGATCCGAGCATTCTTTCCGCCGCATTTAGCCTTCCCCAGCTTCTCGTCCCTCTCAACGTCGCACAACACCAAGAGGCAGGAGATTTCAAGGATCGAACCGCACTGATGCCCACCCCTACTTCATTCCATTACATCACTTCAGCTCCCACCTATCCCATAACTAAATCGTTGAAGGGTGCAGCGATCAAAAGAAAACTTGTGTATTCTGGGAATTTCTGTTGAAAGGGTTGTACTCTGAGGGGTTTTTTTTTACAACTTTTGTAAATTGGGGAAAATCCTTATAAACTTTAGTTTATTTTCTCTGTCATGGTGTTACCTCTTGTTACTCAAATACTTACCCTTTAGTTGTCTTGCCGTTTGCGCAGCTCCGGTAGTAGGATGGGGCTTTAGATATGGTGCATACCCATTCATCAGTAACTAAATCTGGATACTTGATTGAGAAAATCCAGATCTAAAAATGGAGAATTAGAGATATTTGTAATTTTCCTTGTTTTATTAGTCGGCTCATATTTTCTTCGTTTTAACTCGGATTTCAACTTGTGGCAGTGTATGCCTTCGTTTTAACTACAGCCTGGTATTACTAAATCCCTAGTTTTCTGGTTGTCATCATTTTGCTGGAATTGTCTGAAAGCTTTGTCAGTTAGTACTGAGGTGTCTTTAGTCTTGGCCCTTCGCCACAAGTTAGGTTTTAACTTGTGGCGAAGGCATACACTGCCAGATGCATAACCAGAAGTAGTTAGTTCTGCAATGTGGCATGCACTGCTGAGGACAGGAATCAGCTTATTTTGCAACATATCACCACCACTCCTAGTTTCTGCCATGGTCATTTGTAGCTTGAGGTCCAAGGTGGAAAAGAAATCTCCACATTCAACTATTCTCAATGTAATCCAGCTCCAGGGAATCCACGTTCAACTACAACCACACAGATATTTGCATGATATAAAATATAAATCCCTTAACAGACACAAGCCTAGGCTCCAGAAAAACGACCCTAAGCAAGGGCTCCCCTTGAATTCACTTGACAAGTAAGTAGTAACATTATATGCAAAAACTAATCAACTGCAGATCAGAATGCAGAAGACATTGAAGTCTTCCACAAACTTTGACTAGCACTTAACAGCTTGGCACATTGTCTAGAAGACTAGAACTATATAGCTTAGAAAATTCACACCACATTGATTCAACAAACTGCATGGTAAAGATAGACACAGAAATCCAAGGAATTGAAACATAATGAAATTCACCTGCTTGACGAATCAAGGCTGCTCTAGACTTCAAATTCATTGCAGCTAATTGTCCAACCTGTGAATCAAGAAATGAGGGGAACCTTTTAATTTCTTAACAAAATTGCAGCATTACGGTAGAGTATGGACCGGTATCTAAGTGGTAGCCTGGTAGGAAGCAAACTTCCGAAACCAGATGATTAATGAAAATATTTCGATTTAACTCTGACGAAACATTAACCAGCACATTGCAACTATTAATATGCTTTCTAGGTAAAAAGTAAAGCTGAGAACAGACCTTCTCTATGAATTCCTTTTCTATTTGATAGTCATAGTTGGCAGCATCCGCAACCACCTTGCCCGTTAATTGACCATCTATCCAGCACAAAGCAAATTAGAGGAAAAGGGTTACACCTTACCGATTGATAAACTTTGGACAATGTAAGAGCACCACCACCCTGTTCGACCGTAAAAGAAAAATCAGACGTAGGGGAATGAACAGATCAAATGTGTAAATACAGGAACAACTTTTCTGTGGAATGAAAGCAAAAGATTGAAGGACCTTCAATATATTTGGCTGGAGCTCTTCTATCACATGCTTCAAAGCACCACACCCCTTGTTTCTTCCATCGATCCAATTCAAGTTCCAGAGCCTCTTCACTATCCAAAGGCTTTGATAATAATTCCCATAAACCCAGAAAGTACATGAATCTTCAGAGCAGAAGAACCGGTTGTTTATATGAAGTCAAAAAACACAATCTACTTTTCTATTGTTTTTGCTTCATATTCCAACTCCTTCTAATCTCAGCAATCCGTGTGGTAAATTTCATTGACCAGTTCTCTCATTGAACTTTCTGGAGTTTAAGTCAAATTCTTCACAAAGTTGACCTTGTAAAGTTCATGATGAGGGCTATTTCTTTCCCACACGTCTCTGGTTTCTCAACAATTAAAGAAACTTAAACCATAGTTGTGCTAGTATCACATGCAATTGGCTGGACACTAATTTTTAACTCTATCAACCTCGGGAAGAAAGCAGAGTATTATTAGCTTTTATATCGATTCATAACCTTTAGAGAACAAACCTACACAACATACAGTATCAGCTTACTCATTGTGCTTTCTTTTTTCTACCAAAAGGGATGTCTACTTGTGGTTCTCAGACCCAAAACTAAAATCCGCAGATGAGGCTCTTTCTAAATATTCCCACTTACTTGAACAGAGAAATCCCAAAGGAGGTAACAAACAAGGATGATCATTCCATTCCAGCAGGGTCACATGGTTACTGCATACTGCTAAGCTGCTGAAGTGTTTGGGAGCAAACATCCATTTCAGCCAAGTTGTAACAAGCAGAAACAACCAAGGAGTTCCATAAAGACATATCTGGTATCTCGCCCTGGTCAATCATCTCTTCCACCAAGGTAACAGCATCATATTGCCTACCGATGGTGCAAAGACCTTGCACAAGCACATTGTACATATTGACCGAAGGGCGATATGATCTTCTCAGCATCTGTTCCAAAATTCTACTTGCTTCAACAAATCTACCATCTCGACACAACCCATTCACCAAAATACTGTAACTTTCACTGTCAGCAACACAACCTACTTGCTTATCCATCTTTTCCAGATACCTGACAGCCATAGCTGAGTTTCCTGTTTCACACAGTCCCCTGAGCAGGACATTATACACTCTTACTGTTCGCACACAGTTTGCTCTGACCATCTCCACTTCAATAACATGGACAGCATCGTCAATCCTTCCTTCACTGCACAAAGCTGTCAGCTTTGCTTCATAACTTCGAATTGCTGGCTTAAATCCTCTGTCGAGCATCTCATTGAGCACCTTGTCAGCTTGAGCAACACTACCTTCTTTGTAAAAATCATGGGCCATTACAGTATAACTGGCTGAACTCGGAACACAGCCTCTGATTAGAGCTTCATGAATCAACTTCTTAGTGGCATCTATACTTTCAACACTACGGCAATTGGTTAGATCTAGTTGTGGCTGACGTACTTTTGGTGCCTTGAGTCCCTTCCGTAAGATCTTTCCAAGGATCTCAAGTGCTTCATCAACCTGCCCATTGTCACACAAAGCATCCAAAAGCGTTCTATATACCACAATATCCTCGCCGCTACCTTTCTGAGAAATCCTCCAAAACATCGAATAGAGCAAATGGGTAGCCTCAGTCAGCCTCCCATCTTTACAAAGCCCCTGCATAAGAATTAGATAGCTCCCCCTGTTTGGATAGCAACCTTGATAGCTCATCTCCTGGAAGACATGGGATGCAAGATCAGAACGTTTATGTTGACAAAGAGACTCCATTAACAAGTTCAAGGCAACAACACGGGACTTGACTTCCCAACCGCAGGAGTAGTCGACGAAGAGACGGTGAGCTGCTTCGAGCTTAGACTCTTTCACCAGTATCTGCAGAACTGTGTTAAATGATTCAGTCCAGTTGACACAATTGAAGTTGGGAATGTCTTTGAAGAGAGAGACAGCCTCATCAACCAAGCCGGCTCTAGCGTAAGTCTTGATTGCATTGGCAAAGACTGAATCTTTACAGTGACAAGAATCATCTCTCATCTTTCCAATGACCTCTTTCATCTCCTTGAATTTACCAGACTTCCCCAGGACATCAATCAATGTGGCATAAACCGGCCCGTTGTGACGATAGTTTGGGAACTTGATTCTCGCTTCCTCAAAGAGTTCTACCGCCCTCAAAGGGTTTTTCTGATTCCTTAGGATCTGAGAGAGCTGAGTGGGGTTTAAAACCCTAGGCCACCTAACACTCATTGGCAATTGACAATCCAAAAAATTTTTGCTTTTCCCCTGGAGAGAAACCGAAACTCAAACGACCATTTAACCAGAGTGGATAGTTCAATTGACATATAAACACAGGCCTGAGACAGACTATCGGGGGTTCCAACTCGAAATTGATTTCAGGGAAGAAGAGAGCGCAGCCAGAATTGAACTACCTGGCTAACGAAGCCGATTCGGCACTGGTCGGAGAAACATGGGATGGAGACCGAGATAGGAAGTAGGAGGACTGAAACTCCAAAGGTCTCGTTAGCCCGACCTACGCAGGCGGCGGGGATAGACCGCCCGGTAGCCCGTCGTCCTCACAGGTGTCAAATGCCGCAGTTGAGATGATCGGGCTCGGGACTGCTGTCAATGTGGGGCATTAAGGAAAGGAATCGAAGCTGAGATGATTACTGTTTACATAGAAAGTGGAAAAAGTTAATCTGCTAAGTTGAAGATTCGTTAGCCGATACTAATTGATATCCAAAATACTAGGACTGGGAAAATAGACCAGATCGTTAGAAAAACCGTGGTCCAAACCGTACCGCACAGTTTGGTCCGGACCGTAGACCGTGAAGTATGGTCTGGTCTGGTCCATGGTCTGTATTATTTTATGATTTGATTTCTTGGTCTGGTCTGGTCTAGACCGCGGTTTACCGGACCAAACCGTAGACCCAACTGACTTGTCAATACGTGTTAACAGCCCATTCGACCCCTCTCCAAACTCCCACAACGACACCCAAGTCTCAACCTTAATTTTGTGAATCTCTTCCCTCCTTCATTCACAACCACATTTAACCACAGAGTAGAGATAATCGTGTCTCCATATGACATTATGTTAATGTTTATAACATTATGGTGCAAGCTGAGATGCTTTTACTTTGTATCTTTGTTATGTACTAAGATTTAGAGTATCAAAATTATTCATGCATGTTAGGATTAATGTTTTAAGGCAAATAACAAATATTTTTCTTGGTTATTGGTTCAATTTTTTGTGTGGTTGACTAAACAAATTATTCAATTTTCGTTGAGTGTGGTTTATCTGGACCAGACCAGACCGAACCAGACCGCACAGGCGTGGTCTGGACCAGACCGTATAGTCTGTGGTCTGGTCTGTGGTCTATACTTTAGCCTCTCGGTCTGGACCGTAGACCGTATATATGGTCTGGTCTGGACCAGACCGCACCGTTTCCCAGCCCTACAAAATACATGAACTAATATCCAAGTATTAAAGTATCTAGATAGCGCAGACTAGTATTTAAAGTTTGCTAACTGATATCCACCATGAATCAACTATTATCACAAACTCACAAACTAATATCTAGAGAACACAGAATAATATCCAAACAGCACATAATTAGTATCTAGATAACACATAAGAGTAACCAGATAACACATAAGAGTATCCATATTGAATACTATTTGGTTGATTGTGGATATTAGTTGGTATCTGCTATCTGGATAATAGTTTGTGATGTTTTGAATATTAGTCTGTGCTATCTAGATACTTAGCATTCTTGGATATTAGTTCATACATTTTAGATATTAGTTAGTATATACTAACGAATCTTCAAGTTAGCAGAATAACTAGGTTGCTCGAGTGGAGCTTTGCAAGGCCATTGTGAAGCTGACGGATAGAAACTTATATTAGGGTTCTATCGGGTCTGGTCGTGAGATTGGGAATTAGGGATTCAGAATAGAATCAGGAATTTGAGAAGGGAGAGATAGAGAATCGGTCTAGGTCTTTAGAGGAATTGAGATCTAGAATTGACTCATTGAGAGTAGGGATGAACAAACACACCCGCAAATTGACCCACCCGTCCAATCCTATCCAACCCACCCGTATTTATCGCTAAAACGAAGGTTTTGGGTTGGGTGAGAGTTTTCTTTTGTACAACCCGTCTCTTTTGAGTTGGGTTTTGATTTTGGATTACACAACCCGTAGAACCCGACCCAACCCGTGTTCCAACTATTAGTATGAGTTCGGATCTAAAAAAATATATATGTCGTATATAGTTATATACTTATGAGAAAATTAAGATATTTTGCCATATTTTTCTCTCATGGTCTCCCTAATCTAATGCATTCTTCGACTTAAAGTTTAGACATAAATTGAATATAGTTATAATTCACGTAATTCTTTTTCTTGTGTACAATTTTAATAGAATAACATATGATGGATGCGTTTGTTTATAACATTTTTAGCCTATTTCAAAAAATATCGTGAAAAAAACAAGACATGTTGATATGACTTGAATAAGATTATCAGCCGCTACGACTGGTAATCGGGGGTCTCGCTTACCTGTAAATACTTCTAAAAATACTTCTCATACTCCTCTGTAATCTGTAATCTCCTCGATATAGTGAAACTGGCTCTCTCTCGCCCGTGGACGTAGCTAACACACATTGTGTTAGTGAACCACGTAAATCGTGTGTCGTGTTTTCGATTCTCGCTTTCGTATTCTTGCTTTGTCGATTCCGGCGATTTCCCGATCCATAGCAGCGCGTTTATAACAAGACATATGTTGAAGTAAATCACATTTTATTAAAATTTAAACAACATTTGTGAATTTTGATACCTTTTACCTTGGTTCATTCGTTTGAAATTTTAATTAGTTATAAAATATCTTTATGATGTAGAATAATTATATATTTTATGTTGGGTTGGGTTTTTACTTAAAAATATCGCCAACCCAACCCAATTAGAAACAAACCATAGGGTTTAAAATTTTTGGGTGGGTTTGAGTTTGATATTTCCCAAACTGTAGTGCATGGGTCGGGTGATTAAAATGACTAAACCCGAACCACCCAACCCATGTACACCCCTAATTGAGAGGATTGGGAGATTAGGGTTTAGGAGAGTTTTCTTAATATTCTTCTTGACTACCCTGATTAAAACGTAAAGTACATATTTATAACGAAAGACCGAAAAACCTAATAGACTATCCTAATATGACTCAATCACTTAATAATAATAATAAACCTTAATAATAATTATTATTATTATAGAACCGTAGATTTCTATAATCTCCTCCCCCTTGACACCAACCTTGCCCTCAAGGTTGCCCAAATTAATATCTTTCTCCGCCGTGATCGCGCTATTTGTACTTTGACTCCTCCGTTCCTTGTGCCTTCTTCTCTTCCAATCATGCTCCATATTTTCCCAAACAAGTGAGCTCAACATATACAAAAACAACCCATTCAGGTAGCCCAACTGATGCCCAACCCCTCTCTGATTTGATCGATTAAGCCTCAACATCCATGGCCCAAAGCCTGGCCCACTCCAACCCCCTAAAAGTCACTAGGCCCACTTCTTATTTTCTTCAAGTTCCTCCCACTCCCTACCAGCCCAGTCAGCTCCCTCTTGGGAAGCTTGCAGCACAAACCTTCTTGACCCATCTCTATCACCAGGCCGACTCCCTCTGACCCATCCAGCGACACTGCCCAGCTACCTTGGTCCAACGAGCAACCCCACTCGCCCGACTCAACGGACTGGCCTGCTGCCACTGTTGTGCGCCACTCCTCAACACGGCTTGTCTAGGGTTTGTGGTAAGGAACATGATGTCGCCGCCCTCCTCTCCGCTCGGCCTCTGCTTTATTACGCCCGCCAATGGCGCCGTCTTCCTCGTCCCGTTCCCCGACAATGCGCCATTCCACCGACGGCCAGGTAGCCGATCTGACTCCGACGCCGCCTTTTGCTCCGTCTTCTTCTCCGGCGATGGCCCGACATCCGGCGGCCTCTTCTCCTCGTCGTTTGACACGAGACCCGATGCTGCCAGCAGCAGCATGCCCATCCCCATCGCGTCGGTTCCCAGCTCCGCCTTCATGGCCTTCACCGTCGCGACTGGAACTGCCGGGCTCAGCAACCCGCCGTCCCCTGTCGTCGATCTCGGCGACTCGCGCCGCCGCGTCAGCCTGGTCGAGCGCCTCGGTCCGTGGTGCCCCGCCGCGCTCTCCTTCCGCCGCCGATCGCACCGACCCGCCGTCGCCCGTCGAGCTCAGCGGCGCCTCACGCCGCTGCGTTGTTACTTCACACGTGTCCATTCCAGATCAGAGGGCCTCGATGAGCTCATGTTAGCTTTGATACCAAATGATAGAACCTGATATTAGGGTTCTATCTGGTCTGGTCGTGAGATTGGAAATTAGGGATTCAGAACATAGTTAGGGATTTGAGAAGGGAGAGATAGAGAATCGACCTAGGCCTATTAGAGGGATTGAGATCTAGAATTGAGAGGATTGGCAGATTAGGGCTTATGAGAGTTTTCTTAATATTCTTCTTGACTACCCCTAAATAAAACGCAAAGTACATATTTATAACAAAAGACTGGAAAACCTAATAGACTATCCTAATATGACTCAATCACTTAATAATATTAAACCCTGATAATTATTATGATAGAAACCATCACGGACTTTTTTTTACAGTTTGGTGAATTAATGTTGTGCTCGATATTGCTATCAAATTGGTATGACTATGAGAAAAATATATATGGTATGGAAATGTGGTATAAGAAAAATATATTGTCCATATGTTTATAATTTTAAATATTCTATTTTCGTTCTATATAGTCTCGTAGTTGTACAATTTGATTATTTAATCTTCACCTTTAAATCTCTTCATTCCACATTGACGTGTTAGTATGAAATTCACATGATTAGGTTTATTTAAATCTCTTTAGTGGACCGAGTCAAATGAATCATTTTGGGTTCAATCCACGTGATTTGTCAACTATTGCACTTGTCAGGGGAAGTATAGAGCCAAATGATTCATTTTGGGTTTATCAATCCATGTTGTTTGTCAACTATTGCACTTGTCAGGGGAAGTATAGAGCCAAATGATTCATTTTGGGTTTATCAATCCATGTTGTTTGTCAACTATTGCACTTGTCAGGGGAAGTACAAACATTTGCACCAATGCTCCTTTGCTATAATGAAAATTTGATAGATTGTTTAGGCTAGTTAGTAGAGCCTATGACCAAATAAGTTCACTTATA